GGATGGATGCTTCGTGACTGCAGTCTTTCTCGTTATTATTATTTGGTTGGCCCCCCCCCCCCCGAATTTGTTTGTACGGCTTTCCTTTTGATGTCCCATAATTAGATCCGATTCCTCAGATCTGGGCAAAGCATATCTTTCATGAAGCAGAACACGAACAACACTGACGAGGGCGCTCGTTTCAACTTTGAGCGTCTCCGATCCATGCAGTATGCGCATGGACCGAGCTTTGATCATGGATTCCTTGGCTCCTGGCGCCCGGCCAGGTGGGAAACTCTGATCCACCGCGCCTCGTCCGGGCTCTCAATCGGAAGCACTCGTTACAACTCATTTTCGTGGAAGAAGCCAACCGCTTGCCATGTGTGGCTGTGGCAAGGCAAGCGTCTCCGTGCATAACCATCTATGTTTTGCACTTTGGTTTAAAGCAATCGTGCAGTCGCATCAAAGTAGGACTATACATTCAGGCAGATGGCCTCCAGCAGGACTGGATAGACATGCCTTGGCAATGCATCCAGGCAATTCTGCTGGACACACTTAGATTTTTTGGCTGGGGCTTTAAGCGCAGATCACTTGGTACCGGGTTTTCACACTTCTCCTAGCATTGCAAATTGCAACAGGGGTCATAGACATGTCTACGCAGTATCTAAGTGCCCTTCCCCTTGAATCCCAACATGTTGGGTGTTTGTTTTTCCCAATCTTTCTTGCAGCATGTTCCCAAAGCTAGGCGCTTGACTGAGAATGGCAAGGGATCCTTTCTGATTCTTTTTTCTTGTATTGGTCAACATTCCAAGGTGACCTTTTCCAAAGTTGGCACATCCCAACAGTCGCGTGGCTTCAGCAAGGACTGGGCACAGCGACACAGGCCGGGAGCGGTGGCCGTTTGGTCATGGGGTCGCGAGGTTTTAAGCATGTCGAGCAATTCAAGGAGGGTATCTTTCGTGGTGGAAAATCTTGGGTCTTAGGTTGCACCCGGTTGCTCTCACAGAAAGGGTGGTTTTCCAGAACCATAATATCTTTTGGGAAGCAGATTGAGGGAGCAAAGTCTAAGTGGAAGCTCCAGGCTTGGGGCCCATCCCCTCAGAGCCGCTGTCTGCTCGCTCCGCGCCGCGACAGGCGAGCGGGGTTTGGGTGGTTGGGACGATTGGGTTTGGTCGTGAAAGGCCTCACAACACGTCCACACTCTGCATACGTGGCCGCGGGCATGCCGCGTGCGGCTTTTTGTGGAGATAAAGAAGGCGTCCCGTAGTCAGATCTTGAAGCCGCGACTGCGGTCTGAGTCGAGTTAGGCTAGAACTCCCAGTCCAGCTCATCGAGATGTTAGCATGTGACTTCCATGAAATACGATCAGAACGCAGGACAATTCCTGCTCGCCTTATTCGGGCTGCTCGACAGCCCTAAGTTTTCCATGGCAAGGCTCGCAAATCCGAGCCTTGCTGAGTCTTGAAGCAAAACTTGCAAAGTGAGAGCTGGAGGTAGCAGGCAGGCAAGTTCCTATCGACTTGCTGCTGAGGGAGGTCTGCTGCGCAGAAGAACACTGCTTTGCAGAATTGCACTCGAACATGCTACGCATGTTTCTAGCAAGTATTGATGCTTAGGCAGGACCGGGCGTTCACTATTTTCTTCAGGGTTCTGAACTATTAGCTTCAATTACCCTTTCTGCATCTGGTTTGCCCGGCCGATGAAGGCTGGATTCTATTTTCCAGGCCCATTTCCTGATAGTTTGCACCATGAAAATAGTTCTGTATGGAAAGGTTTTTGTTTGAAGCACTCCAATAGGCAACTGCGCACATGACCATTTTCAGGGGCTCACTCATAGCAAACACGGCCAACACATCCAGCCAACAACTCAGCCCTTGTCGCCGCAGGTTCCGAGACCAGAACACCTGGCCAGCCTGCAGCTTTGGTCCGTTCAGCGTGGGCCCGAGAGCCTGGACCGCTGGACGGATTCGGAAGCCCCTGTGTGTGTCCGTTTTAGGAGACACCCCCAGAATGTTTCCCCTTAAAACCATCAACACAGGGGTACCCTCAAGAAAAGACGGGCCCATATAGAGGTAAAATGAAGGTAGATCATGGGGGGGGTGGTCATATCTCAATTCGATCGGTCCCGACCACCTGGGTTCTCGCAAAACTGCGTTCGGCCCATTGCCCAATTCCTGTTGGCTCACCTGCCTGGAAGCCTTTCTTGGTGAGGGCGGACATGCTTTTGACCAAGGGACAGTCGTTCCCGGGCCTCTGCCAGATGAGAACACATGCTTTCGCCAGCCTGTGAGGGCCTGGCAGGTTGGCAGGTAATTAAGACAATCAAGGAAGCAAACCCATTTCATCAGCATCATCCCGACTAAGCATAGGTTGTCCAGGGTCATCTCACGTGTTTGACGTGCCATTAGATGAGACAGCTCACACGCTCATAGTCTTCTTGAATCGTTCCGATCGCTTGTTCCGATGGAAGACGCTAAGGCAGAAGCTCCTCGCGGGAACCTGATGCCAGAAAAGCGCTCTGCTGCGCTCAGCTTCAGCCCACAGGTGGCTTGGGGGACTTCTGAGCTGGAAAGACCAACACAACGTATATAAATAATATAAAGATATATTATATACACGAATGGCCAAGAGTTGCATATGAAAGATGGGGGCAGAGGCCTTTGGAATGTTGCTGCCCTTCAACAGGGACTCCTGTCCACTTTAGACATGTTCTGAACATCCAGGCGGTTCCTTTCGATCTAAGAGAGTTTGTGAACAATCTCAAAACCTAAGGAAAAAGCCAGAGGTGAGGGGGGAATCAGGCTGTTTCTCTTGTTTTGGGGCTGACTTCCGCTGCATCGAGATTGCAGAAGGCCCAACATCACCATCAAGCAGAAGCCTTGACACGATTCGGGGCATTGCGAGTTGTGCGCTGTTGGCTGCAAGCTCAAGCGCATTGCGGACAGCATGTTTGGACTTTCCCCAAGCAGGAAAGGCAGCAAGTTGCATTCGGGAGATCCACTTTGAGCCAGCCGCCTTCCGCGCTGCTTGGCAGTTGTTGGCCGCGAGCACAACTAGACTTGGTGACTTTGCAATGAGACACAAGAATTGAATCCTTGGAAGCTTCACATTCCCCGGGCTCCTTGACACCTTGCACCATGCATGGCGAGCGGAGCCGCGATGTGGAGGCCGCGAGCCAGGAGCGGGGGAAGATGCCGAGGGACTGCGCGGTTGGTTTCAGAAGTTCAAGTCGCGTTTTCGGGTTGGGCAGCGATGGATGGCGTCCGGTGGCGAGCATGCGAGCAAACCTTGCCCGAGCTAAGGCGGGATGGGCATTGACAGACTACAAGTGGCAAGGGTCGAGGCTGAGCGGATCTTCGAAGAGGTGATAGCGCCAACCTTGCAAGTCAATCACACAGAGCAAGGGACTAGTTCACATCGAGAGCCTTTCCATTTTGGCAAACAATTTGAGTTGATAGCATCCCAAACAGGCGAGACATCCCTTTTATCTTGCTATTGGTAGCACCAAAGATGTACTTGACATGCAGGCAGCATAGTGTGGTTGGAAGTAGAGTGGTTGCTGCCGATATGGACAGTTGCAGAGAACAGATCAGGACGCTGAGCGAAGATGTGTCGCGAGTTCACCAAGCGACCGCAGAAGCGCGGTTTGCTGCACAAGAGCCCTGATATGCCCGGACCCATGCTTAGCATCACACACACTCCAAACAGGAGGCCTTCAGAGTACCTTCTTGTAAAGAGTCGTGCCCCCTTACCATGTACCTGAGGTTCATTTCGTTAGCATTGCAACATCCAAGGACTCCACGATTCCACGAACCCTTCCTTTGGCGCCTCCACCGCCCAACAACCCAAACACTTCCACCACTATCTTTAGAACCACCCCCACCAAAAACAGCAGTGGCTTTACTCGTTGTAGACTGAACAGAAGCGTTATCCAGAACTTTGACCTTTGGCAAAATCCACAATTCATCTGCCCCCCCCCCCCCGAAAAAAAATTAAAACAAAACAATAAACAACAACAAAAAAGCAAAAAACAAGACACACATTGCAGGAGCAATAACTTTGGGCAAAAGTTGCAACGGCCACTCCGAAGTCACAAGTTCTGGGCAGATCGGATCCAGGAGCCGCCCTCCCCGCGGTCCGTGAGCTCCGAGCCGTCGCGCTCCACGGAGACGGAGCTGCGGAGCCTGGCGCGGGCGCCCGGACGGCCGCCGAAAGGTGCGACCCACGCCAAACCCCCATGGCTAGAGCAAATGTGTCACAATCAGAATCCGGGTAAGTGAAGATTAGTAAGGGGCGATCCCAACCATGCATAGCTGCGGCCGCCTTCTTAGTTCTTCACATGGTTCTGGGTCGACCACTTTTGTACCGGGTTTTGATTATGGTTCAAATCAGCCTCGTTACAGATGTTGCGAGAATAGTGCTGGTCACGATAGATATCTAAGTAATGGTAATCCCAACAGTGTAACGATATGAAGCATATTCTCCATATTATATTTAATGGAATAGTTTTTGTTTCAGGCTCGGTACAGGGAAACCGTCTAGCTTTTTCCGATTCGAAACAACCCCGTATTCCGCTTTTAGTTTGACCACCTTGTGAGTTTCCCTTTGAGGAGCACCTCGGCTAGAAAGGTCCCCCAACTGTGGGAAGCACTGGCAATGAGCATATGTGAAAATGGTCGCAACAAAAAGACCGCGGATCTAAAATATTTGCCGATCACGCCTTCTTTGTAGGCAAAAGTTGATGCTTCCGTGAAGAAGCAACCACAGGTACTGCAAAGTCTTGCACACATGTCGTTCCACCGTTGGCTGCTGGTTCCACAATGAGTATCCCCCTCCCAGATTAGCGTCTTCTGCAGTGCCAGAGTTGCCCTGCTTGGCCGTGTAAGTTGGGTTTGCTTGCCTTTGTGAACTACCATGCCATCGCATTGCACTCACTTAGGCTGGGATGCGCTGATTGAACAGCGATACACTAACTCCATCAACCTCACTTCAGTTGTTTGCCCCGGGAAATCAATGGATCGAGGCCTGCGGGATGCCCCAAGTTCTTCCCTGCGGCTCCTTGCGCTCAGATTCTGATGGTGAAGCAGACAAGTACAACACATGCTCTTTGAACAGCACTCACCAGAGCCAATCCAATTTGAAGGTCATCGATTAACGGAGTACCGCTCCTGACTTTGTCCACAGTCTCAGCTCGAGCACTGGGACCATATGGTCCAGCATGGTTCGAGATGCGCCTCTCCGGACGGAGAATACCTTCGAGAGCAACCGGGATGACCGGTGGCGCAGTCTGCTCTCGCTCATTCTGCGGGAGAGGATCTACCGGACCTTGGCCTTCTGGCGGAAGCGCTTCGAGTTCATGAGCGCAGCGGACCTCGCCCACACCTTGTGGCTTGCCCGTGAAAGGGCTTGGAATCCAAAGACAGCTCCTTTTTGGTTGGCAGGAGCACGAGTGGAACGTGTCTCCAGAAGGAAATGTAGCCTTTTGCGCACTGAAACAAGTTGCCCCAACGAACCACAAAAAGCGGCAGGGAGTCACAGTGGCGTCCCCAGGTATGACGGCAGCAAGGGGGGCAAGGACCTGTTCCTGGACATGAAGGAGCTGGTGCAGAACGACCAGGATGGCCCAAGCTCTGAGAACTTGACGCGCAAGGCAAAGATCGAGGTGGGGGCTCGTGGGAATTTCTCAGATGATGGACTGCTTTTGGTTTGGCAGCCATTTAAAGGGAAACAACAAGTTTGGTTTCTCTTTCAGCCAACTTGAAAAGGGTACTCTGGAAAAGCACACTCAGAAAGGGCGCTTTTTTTTTGCGACTTGCCTCAGGTGCTGTGCTATTCTTAAACGGAAACAGTCATGACCGGCAACGATTGTGTTTCATTGGCACCTGGGGCAAGTTGATATTTTTGGGATGAGTTTCCAAGGAAGCCAAATCTCCTGCCTGCGAATTACATCTAAAAAGAACACAGGTCTTTGACTCCGATTTGGCCTGCTTCATCGATGTACTCATGCTGGTAAACGTGAGCATGACCATGGTGGTGGCGCCCTTGACATTTCTTTGGGATGGCCGCTGGCAAGATCCTGCTACAGTGCCAGGTGGGAAAGACACGTTGCTCGGTCACCCATCCGGTTCCTTCGACTTTTGGCTTTTTAGAGGGATGTATCACATGATGACATATCCCATTAAAAGTTTTACTTGTAGCGAGGGATTAGTGAAGCACCAAGGTTGATGTTCGACTTGGCCATGGACATTGTGTATGCCGTTTATTTACTTTTGACACTGGAAATGTCATACCTGCACCCTGAGCAGCGAACGGAAATCGTGACCAGCAGCAAGATTATTTACTGCCGGGTCCGATCTCCGCTGTTCTGGCTGAAGTGGCTCAGTGTCACCTGCTATTTCTGGGCAGCTGCTTTCGGCTGGCCGCTGGTCATCAACGCGCTGAAGATGCTTGGTCGGCCACACAACAGTCAAAATACATAGCTTGAACCAGTTCAGCAGAAGTAAAGGAAATTGAGGTCTAGGCAAAGCTGTGCGGCCCTGGCGGGGTTTATTCGGGTTCTTCGCTGTTTGCCAGCCGGATTTCAGGGCTTCCGTGATCTTGTGTTGCAGATGAACAGCTAAAGATCGATTTCTTCGTCCTGTACTAAAAATTTCACCTGTGACCAGCTGTGTAAATCGAATTCAGGCAATTGGCTAACACACTTGTGTTTGTCCAGGGATGTTATGTGCTAATCTCAGCATGGTCGATTCAGCACTGTTTATTTTCTCCAGCAACAAATATATAGGTTCTAGGGTTGAATCAGTTCACTTCTCCGTGGCAAGATCACCCCTGGCCCATTTGTCAGTTGCAAACCACATTTCCCAGTTCTGCCTGTTCCAATTGCCAGTGCCTTCTCCACGGTTGAGTTTGGCCCGAGGGGAGGGAGTCTACAGAGATACTCTTTCATACTTGTTATGGTTCAAATTTCTAAAACAACTGCTCGTCGCGGCAACATATTCTTGTGTTTCACCACGAGCCCCACCTCAATGTGCCCCAAGAATTTGGGCCAGTCTTTTCCCAGGATCTCTGGCTATATCGTAAAACCAGCCTAAGGCTCCCACAGTCCGACGGACTCCCTTCCCCTAGGAACAACCCACTGCCTCGGGTCAATTGTTTTCTTTGGGCATGCCCAGAGACAGGGTGCATGAAATGGGCGAACTGGCACATGGACAGTTTCACCGACTTTCTGCGCTCCAGGAGTTTCGGGGCCATGAGACGCACAGTCGCAAGGCCATAAGCCACCTCTGCCCAAGGCTCGATGTTTGTTGCTCCACCTTCTCATCTGAGACATCAGGATGTTGACAACCACAGCCGGCAAACAAACGACAAGCAACTCCTCCATTCATAAGGGAAACCACAAGGAAATCCGGCCAGGTACCTCCATACAGAAATGGCTATGCAACCAGCTCAAAAGTAGTTGGACAGGAAATCCCATCTGAATGATCTCCACCAAAGGGTCCAAGTAGGGGTATCTCAAAATTCGGTACCCTAAAAATTATGGTTGTTTTGTTTTTTGGTTCCCCTTGAAAATCAACCAACTGAACAAATCACATCCAACTATTGGTACAAGGCGGTAGGTAATTGAGAGGTCTCGTTTTTTGTTTTTGTTTTTAAGGTTTTCTAGGGTTCCTTAGAACTCACCCGCACTTGGACCACCCAGGATTCCATAAAAACAAACATTATTTGAAAACCAAGCAATTGGGTCGAAGCACCTTTGAAAATTCCGGCCCAACTATTTCTCAGGATCTTCCGGGCCGGGGTTTTCATTGAGCTGCCGGACTCTCTGTGGCGCCTGCGGGACACCTCGGAAGTGCGTCTCACGAAGCCCGTGCTGCTGCTGATGGGCGTGGCTCACTGGGTGGCATCCTTCCTGCGCCTCAACCAACGCAGTGGGTTTGTGTGTGTGTGTGTGTGTGTGTGTGTGTTTGTGTGTGTGCGTGTTTTTTCAGGTACTTTTGTTTCAAGGGAAGGCACAAGGAGATTCACGATCTTCGCTGGGTCAAGCAAAATGACAAATGCTCCCGTGGGTTTGTGTCAGTCTTGTTTAGGGGACACAAGAAATGGTGGTCTTCATTGTGATTTTCCTTCAAGGCCATGGACCCGGATGAATCCTTTGCATGGGTTTCCCTGTGGGCATGTCTAGACATATTGTGGGTCCTTTTGGTTGTTCTTTAAGCAACATCCCAAATGGGGCAACGCTTGATGGCAATATAGCTCAAGCCACATAGGGGTCCAAATCTGATATGTCCAGGGAAGCCCCCCATTTCACCCGCTAGGGTTTGGAGTCTGCACGGATTTGCAAACGGGGGACACGCGCCCAAGCAGAATACCCATCGTCCAAAACCGCAACCGTTGAAGCGCACTTCTGACCCCATAACTAGGGTTTCTTAGCGTTGGTCCACAAAAATTAAATCTGACTTGAAACAAACAAATTATTAAGATTCAAGACAGGTATGAGTCCGCCACCATTTTTTTTGTTCATGCGGCTACTGATTGGTGTGTTCGCTTGTCCAACTTGGTGCCGGTGATCCCTGTATTTTGAGGGTTCAATTTTGAGTGTCAAAGTTTCGCATGTGCCATGATCCTAGCAGCTGACCGGGCTTAGAGCTCACTGTCGTCACTTCAATAACAATGTAAATGGTTGCTGCAAGGCCATGTTTTTGTTGCGGGAACTATGTCAAATCGTAGTTGTCCATTTCATGGCTGCCCTCTGACCATGGGTTGACCTCGGGTGCTTCTTGTCCGTCTGTTTCAGGTTTTGCTTCGGCGGGTACTTGGAGCATCTGCAGACTCAAGGGGCTGCGGCTTCGGAGACCACCTTTCGAGGCGAGGTCGTGGATGGCAAGCTGTCCTCCTATGTGATTGCGTACGTCGAAGCCCTTTACATGCTGACGGGAGCCTTAGACGGTCCAACCGGAGATGGAGCTCGAGACGGAAATTTCGGAGCACTGATGATCGTCGTAGTATTTGCGCCCATTGGGCAGCTGGTTGTTTCACTATTTATTGCCGCCATTGTTCAGGAGCAAGACCTGAAGAATGCACTGGATCGGCGACACAACGAGAACAAAGCCTTTATGCAGCGCGCTGTTCAGATCCTTGGCATTCCGAAGGAATTGCAGAGACGGGTCTTCAGCATGCACTATTTTCAGAAGATGAGCCACGACATCGAGGCTTTCCAAATTCTCTTCAACGGAAAGAACCTAAGTGGCGCCCTTTCCTCGGCCTTGAAGATCTACCTTTACAAGGAGAGTGTCCTCAACTGCAAATACCTTTCAGAGAAGGACCCCAACTACATCATAGAGGTGGTGAAGATTTTGGAGGACGTTGTGTGTCTTCCTGGAGAGTACGTTGCGCGCCGAGGGGAGATCGCCCATCAGATGTTTTTTATTGCCAGAGGAAACATGTCGGTTCTGGTGCCCGATGTCCACAACCCCAATGATGTAGGACATGCAAGGGCAGTGCGAACGCTGAAACTCTCAGACTTCTTTGGGGAGGTTGCTCTCATCAAGGATTGTGTGCGGACGGCCTGGATCCGTGCCGACTCCTACTCCTTGCTGTCCTCCTTGTCGCGTCATGATATTGAGCCGGTTTGGAAGTACTTCCCCGAGTACAAGGAGGAGCTTGCGGCGCAGGTCGCAGAGACGGCGGCCAAAGACAAGAAGCGCAACGCCCAAAACCGGTGGAAGAATTATGGCCTTGGAGAGAAGCGGAAGGTGTTGTTGGAATTCAAGCAGAAGGAGGAGGAGGCGAAGGGGAAAAAGTCTGCCCGGGCTTCCGTGCTAGCTGCTGCTGATGATGATGAATCTGCAGATGTGTTGGCTTCAGGGGATTCTGCGGTGCTTGCAGTTCCAGAAGGGCAGGCACCGCCGGATGTGGGCAAGATGTTCACAGAGCTGTTGCGTCGGCAAAGTGCTTTGGAATCTAAGTTTGAAGCACAGCGCAAACAGATCAAGCAGCTAGTCGACTCACTGCAAAGTGGCTCCAGCTGTAGTGCTGGTGGCGCAACTAGCGCTCTGGCAAGTGCAGTGACCAGCGGTGCAGTCAACGGCGCAGCCAGCTCTGCCACCAAAAAAAACCGCAAGACCAGGGCTAAGAAGATGGCAGCTGCAGAGGACGCAGCAACTGCAGAGGACGCGGCAGCTGGAGAGGAAGCAGCAGCCGCAGAGGAAACAGCGGCTGCAGAGGACACCGCAGCTGCAGTGGACTTAGCTGCTGCAGAGGACGCAATGCCTGAGGAAGCAGCGCAGGAGGCAATTGCAGAACGAGAAGCTGCAGAGGTGCCATGTCTTCCCGCGTTCGTATTAGGTGACGGGCCAGAAGCCGAGCCGCTACTAGGCACAGAGGAAACTGGTCTTCCTGCGCCGAGTGATGGTAGGTAGACGGCGTTCTGAAATTGGCCGGAATTCCGGACCCGGAAGTCAATGTCTAGCCGCGAGCCGCGGTATTTTTTCCATTTGGGGATAAGCAACTGAGCGCAGCAGATGCTGCCGAGCTGCTTCTCTCCAGAGGGATAAGCCTACCTCCGAAGTAGAGGTGGCTGGACAGGAGGCGTAGGTGAAGAAACAACTGGCGCTCTCTAGAGCAAGAAAGATGTAAGGAGTTGCTAGGGAAGGACCTTGAATGAGTCCTTTCCATCATGCCCTTCCAGCATCCAATGGTTGGCAACCTCCAGAACAAGCAAGGGGCAGGAATGTCGCGTGGCAAACTGGTGAGGGTTAAGATCTGGTACTGTACGGTGACTTTCTCTTGGGTTTGCCTGGCAGTGCCGTGTGAAGCAACGCTGTCTCGGCCTATTGTTTCTATCATGGATTTTTGTGACCACGAGGGGCTTGAATGCGCCACTTGAAGTCAAACGGCTTCCTTTGGGAGTTTTTCAACATGGTGGGCCCCCTGTTGGTTAATAAATTGCGGGACCCCAAACACAGACCACCATCTTAGGGTGAGAAAACACACCCCTTTGAGTGCTTCTTCATTACTTCTCATCAGACACACACACACACAAACCATTGCCAGGGTTTGCATGGATGCTCACTTGCCGGCTCTTTGTTGAGGGGCAAGAACGTGAATTTCGCGCGCACCAGCTGCAATCTGGGTCCTTTTGACATCATCTCAATAGGGCGCTTTTCATGTTGACCTGGCTACCGGCTGTTAGCCCTTGCCGTGATCCTATAAAGCTGCTTGCTCGAGTGAAACCCCAGCAAAGGGTGACTAGCTACAGATCCTGGCATCAGGCTGACCCGCTGGAAGACGGGGAGGCAATTGCCGAACAGATCAAGGCCTCGCAAAAAAAACGCTGGGCAAAAAGAGCATCAAAGCGGGGTCCTGCTAAGCTGAGCGAGCCACTGCAAGTCCCAAGGCTCTGCCCCGGCCACTTGAACCCTAAGCATGTTCAGCTTTAAAGACGACTTGAAATGGGGAAGCTTCGCCGGCCTGAAAGCAGAAATGAGGATCGACTCGCTTCGGACGATTCACACGAAGGTTGCCACACCTTGAGCAGGATGGATGGACTGCCAGGGAAATCCTGTTTTGGGCACTTATTTGGTTGGGCGCAGGTACAGGCTGCCCTCGAATCATGCAAGTAACCCATGTTGGAAAGAGAGACGCCGACATTGGCTGAATGAGTCGAGGCGGCTTGATAGGGCTAGGATTGGCACAGAAGTTTTACGTGTAGTCAGCAGCTTGAACAATCACATACATTTTGCCCATCAGGACATCAAGGAAAACCTCAGCGCTCACAGGCACCAGCTGTCCATGCAGTTATCCAACCAGCGCCCCTCGCATTGTGTTGGATTTGGGCGAGGGGTGATTTGTGACGGTTCGAATGCCATTGCCAACCAGTCGCAGACCCCAGGGGCCTGGGAAGCCAAAGCGGATAGGCAGAGCGTTGGCAGTGCGACCTTTGCTTCGAGCCCTTCCCCAAGTTCGAGACGCCTTGGCGCCTGGGGGAGGAGTGCCTGCACAGCCTTTGCCGGCGGTGCGTGCTGGGCTCTATCAGGCCGAAGGGGGGCAGAGGATATGCAAAGACATGGCGACTGGCCTCCATGGAATGAACGGCGTGTCGCAGCCATAGGATGTTTGTTCCGGACAAGGCGATCTTTGACGGGGTGGTATCGAATCAGGTTTGCTTTCAAAAAAAGGTCGGCTCAATTCAGCGATTTCAGCCTGGCTCCGTTTGGGGCTCTGGAAGTAACAGGTGGGTGAGAAGGTTTTCACTTGACAGGCTGGAAGCTTATTTTGTGGATGCCTTGCTACATGCATTCCAAGTTGAGTCAATGTGTGCACCAAGCAGCAGCCGTCTTGTGCTGTTCGCTGAGGGCTTTGTCAGATTTGGCCATCCCTTGCTTGACCAAAGGAACCGTTGCGGCACAGAACTTTTTAGTGATGTGCACACACTTACTCACATACATGACTCAAGGTGTGAAGTATGCAAGACACATGCGCACATGCCGCTTTGTGTGGCAGTTATGTACCGTGCCAGAAAGCAAGCGGGTAAGTCCGGCGCTGTCTCGTGCAGCAACTGGTGCTTTCCTCGTTGTTTACTTTGCTGGAGCAGCACTTTGAGACGCTCACGCGGTTATTGTAAAGTGTTCTGGTAGCTGCGTGTTGGCTTTGGTGTATATTTTCATTTCGCTCGTACAGCCCTCGCGGACTTCAGGGTGGACCATCAGACAGATTCTTGCTCACTTTGCTTGTGCGTGGGCTTGGCTGGCCAGTTGATGGACCAATGAACCAGGCAGGTTCGAACTAGCCAAGACACTAGTTATCAAAGGAAGTTTAGAAGGAATTCCCGTGTTACGCACACTAATTGAATGTAGCTTTGCGAAAAGAATGCATGCATGCGAGACAACATGCGTGGGCTTGTGGTACATAGATAGATAAATAGGCAGATATGTAGACAGATAGCTAGGTACACAGAGAAGTAGATCGCTCATTTCATATCGAAAGATAGATCGATAGCTAGCTTCTTTACCGCCGGAGGGTCAGCCACAGAATGCCATTGGGGTGAAACGGACAAAGGAACTCGGAAGGACACACTTCAGAAGTTACAATCCGCCTTAGCCTATGAGCACTGACCATACTTGGGTTTGTCCCAGAATAGGGGTATATGCCCCGTTGGTTTCGCTCTTAACCATTGTAAGCCAAACCCGACCAGGCTACCTTCAAAAAGACACACCCACTCGTTGCTTAGCACCGGTTCCTTGGGTTTCTCCAGCCATAGGTGGGGCGGCCGCTGTCCCTATGACAACACGCCAATCCCAGCCATTGTCGTGTGCGGCGCCATGGGTACGGGCGAGTATGCCGGTGGCCCCAACTTACTGTGCAGCTGACAGTCGTGTTTGGTTGCTTCGAGCAATTCTGGGGATCTTGCACTTTAGACTCAAATCATAGCTGCTTGTTTGGAAGACGAGTCTATGCCCCATTGCAGCAAATACTTTAACTATGCCCTCGTGACCAGGGTCTGACGCAGCGATTTGTGAGCGAGCGAGCGAGTGTGTGTTGGCTAGCGAAGTTGACTCGGCATCATTTGGCGCGGCACGGCTGAGGTCTACCATGAAAAGTTGACCGAGGCATCGGACTCGGCGCGGGAAGGCTTTAGAATAATCCCAGGAGACCCCAGAGAAGGGGCCTATAGACTCACGCCGCTTGTCGACCTGCTTCCATGAACCAATTGGTGGATAATAACAGTTCATAGCTCCGGCAGCATGTTTTGAGTGTGTGGGGTTGGCCAACTTTCATGATGGGACCTTGGCCGTGTCATGGCATGAAGAACGCAAGCTACTATGACCATGTGGTGTTTGGTGAACACCATAGAAGTTGTCCCATTCACAGGTGGAAAGTTCCATGGTCCTTCCCTGCGGCCACTTGTACAACACAGAATCCAAGTGTCTCAATCACAGACGCCATGTGGTGAGCAACCTTCCCAACAACAACGCAAACGAGGGCCTAAAGGGGAGACGAGACGACATCCTCCTGGAAGCATCTTTACATCGTCAGCTCCTGTCATTTGTCCGCGTTGAAGCAAAGTTTGGGCGAGCGAAGCTGAACAGAAAGATTCCAACTGTCCCGTCTAAGCTGTGAAGCAACGTTTGGTCCTTGGAAGATGCATGACAAAGACCGTCACATTGACACCATAGTGGTTTGGTCTTCAAATTGCCCGCTACTCGTACCTTTGAACGCTTGGCTTCTCCTCTCGCTTTCGTTTGCATTGCGGAGTGCTTTCTTGCCATTGATTCCCTTTCCGGTTTCGATGTTCCTTTCTTGTGGCTGTCGATCTTCCCTTTAGGCGCGCCGGAGCGGCGGGGTGCCCTGCAGCGTCGGGGCCCTCGAACCGTGTGCGTTTTTCAATTGGGGGTTGATCCAGATTCCATTTAGGGCCCCAAATGAACTTTTCCCATTTAGTGGGAAATATCATCGTTTTAGTGGTTGCCCCCCAATGGTCATTCTATGTGAAGGACCATTTTCATCAACCCCTCAACCGGGCGGGTTTTGGTTGACCTTAGAATCCCGAACAAATCTTTGGAGAATGATTGTTTCCTCCTACTCAAAACAAAGTTCGACTTCTTTGCAGCAGTGACAGCCCATGTCTGACCCAGTTCTTTTGGCAGGAAGGTTGCAGTGAAGAAAGCTTGGTTCCCAATCGAAGACAGCCAGTTGGCGTTTGGCTGAAGTGTGCCATTTGTCCAAACCAGCAGTTGAGTCTAACAAACGTGTCCATGGCGAAGAACTTGGTGCGTGTAATATAGAAGGCGAATCAGATGTCACCAGTCGGTCCGCGGTGTTTAGTGTCATGAAAATATCAGCGGACTTAGCATCGTGAATCGTAGCTGTTTGAAGCTTTCAGATGCTGCAATCCGCGGCTGTAATGTTGCTCGCTGCTCCCGCGGCATTTATCCCTTGATGCAAGCGAGCGTGTCAGCCTTGGCTATCTTCAGCCATCAGATGTGCCATCCAACCACTGTGAACGTTTCAAGGGGTCCTCAATCAGTCCTCTTGCCAGGCTCTATGTAAGCTTAAGGGAGTGCAACAGCGCGTGCAAAAGAAACCGCACTGCAACGAGCATCCTGGTTTGTGCGCTTGAGCCTTGTCAAGGAAGGCTTTGCCTCAGCAAATATGCACGTATGGACCAGATTTTACAGAACGTCTTCGCCAGAGAAAGTCAAAACTCAAAAAAAAAAAAAAAGAGATTCGGACTCAAACGCAGACCCAAAACAAAACCCAACCCAAACAACCGGACTCAAAAAGGCAGACTGACAAACACAACCCAACAACCGGGCTCAGAAAACACAACAAAAGCAATCAAACAACCATCAACAAACAAGCATATAATGATACAACAATAAACAGCAAAACAAAACGAATTCGGACTCAATTTCAGACTCAGGGGTGTGGCAGGCTGGGGGGAAGGGGTTGTTTTTTCATCTTTTTCCTGAGTCAGAAATTGTCTTTTCGGGTCCGGTTTTTCGAGCTGAGACTGAGTCTTTTGGAGTTCAAGTCTCCATTTTTCTTGAATGTAGAGTTTGGGGCTGGGTGTTTTCTTGAGTATGTGTTTGCTTTTGTGTTTGATTCTATGTTTTGTTTCACGCCAGA